TAATCCCAACTCATTAATAGTAGGGGACTTCAATACCCCATTGTCACTATTAGATACGTCAACAGGACAGAGAATTAACAGAGAGACATCTGAATTAAACAACACCATCTATGAAATGGACCTAACAGACATCTACCAAATATTCCACCAAAGCATGAAAGACTATACTTTCTATTCAGCACCCCATGGAACCTTCTCCAAAATCGACCATGTACGAGGGCACAAAAAAAAAAACCTCAACAAATACAAAAAGACTGAATAATTTCATGCATTCTCTCAGACAACAATGCAATAAAGCTTAAAATCAACACTGGAAGAATCCCCAGTAACCACATGAACACACGGAGATTAAACAACACACTCCTGAATGATGAGTGGGTCAAAGGAGAAATTAAGAAAGAAATAAAAGTATTCCTGGAACTAAATGAAAAGGACAATACAACACAACAAAACTTCTGGGACACACTGAAAGCAGTTGTTAGAGGGAAGTTAAAGCTCTAAGTGCCTACATTAAGAAATCAGAAAGATCATCAAAAAATGACTTAACATTGCAACTCAAGACACTTGAAAAGGAAGAACAAATGAAACTCAAACCAAGAAGATAAGAAGAAATAACAAAAATCAGAGCAGAAATTAATGAAATAGGAACAAAGAAAACAATACAAGAGCTGGTTCTTTGAAAAGATAAACAAGGATAGACTGCTAGCCCATTTAACCAAAAGAAAGAAAGAGCACCTCCAAATTAACAAATCAGAGATTAAAGGGGAAACATCACTACAGACACCAAAGAGATCCAGAACATTATAAGGGAATAATTTAAAAACCTATATGCTACTTAATTTGAAAACCTAAAAGAAATGGACATATATTTAAAGGCATGGGAAACCACCAAAACTAAACCAAGAAGAGATTAACAGCTTAAACAGACCCATAACACATAAGGAAATTGAAACAGTAATAAAAAACCTCCCGACTGAAAAAAGCACAGGACTAGATGGATTTACAGCAGAATTTTTTTCAGACATTTAAAGAAGATCTACACCCAATACTACTTGTTATTCAAAAAGATAGAAATGGAGGGAGAACTTCCAAATTCCTTCTATGAAGCCAGCATCACTCTACTACCAAAGCTAGGCAAAGATACAACCAAAAAAGAAAACTATAGACCCATATCTTTAATGTGAATAGATGCAAAATTTTTCAACAAAATACTTATAAACTACATACAGACACATATCAAAAAGATCACCCACCATGATCAAGTTGACTTTCTTCCAGAGATGCAGGGATGGGTCAACATACATAATTCAATAAACATCATAAATCATATAAATGGGCTCAAAGTCAAGAAACACATGGTCATCACAATAGATGCAGAGAAGGCCTTTGACAAAATTCAACACACATTTATGTTCAAAGTCCCAGAGGGAATTGGACTGGAGGCAATATATCTCAACATAATTAAAGCCATATATAACAAAGCCACAGCCAACATCATTCTAAATGGAGAAAAACTGGAAGCATTCCCATTGAATTCAGGAACCTAACAAGGCTGTCCACTATCTCTACTCCTCTTTAACATAGTGCTTGAAACTCTTGCCAGAGCAATAAGACAAGAGAAAGAAATTAAAGGAATAATAATTGGAAAAGAAGAGATCAAATTATCCCTTTTTGCAGATAACATGATATTGTATCTACGAAATACCAAAAATTCCACCAGAAAACTCCAGAAATTGTTAACACATTCAGTAAAGTGGCAGGTTACAAAGTAAATCTACAAAAGTCTGTAGCCTTTCTATATACCAATAACAAGCAATCAGAGAAAGAGTACACGGAAACACTCCCCTTCACAGTAGCTGCAAAAAAATATATATATATCTCAGGATAAACCTGACCAAAGACATTAAAGACCTCTACAATAAAAATTTCAATCTTTAAAGAAATAAAGAAAGAGATTGAGGAAGACATCAGAAGATGAAAGGAACTCCTATGCTAATGGATTGGAAGAATTAATATTGTGAAAATGACCATCCTGCCAAAAGCCATTTATATATTCAATGCAATGCCAATCAAAATCCCCATGATGTTTATCACAGAATTGGAAAAAAACCATCCTAATATTCATATGGAAGCACAAAAGATCTCGGATAGCCAAAGCAACCCTGAGCACTAAGAGCAATGCTCGGAGGATTACTATACCAGATATTAAATTGTATTACAGAGCTATAGTAATAACAACAACATGGTACTGGCACAAAAAAGACCCATAGATCAATGAACAAAATTGAAGACCCAAATATGATTACATTTAATTTCAGCCACCTGATATTTGACAAAGGAGCTAAGAACATTCACTGGAGGAAAGACAGCATGTTTAGCAAATGGTGTTGACAAAGCTGGATATCCATCTGTTACAAGAATGAAACTAACCCCCTATCTTTAACCTTGCACAAAAGTCAACTCCAAATGGATCAAAGACCTCAATGTGAAGCCTGAAACTCTGAAACTATTAGAAGAAACTCTGAAACTGTTTTAAGAAAGCATTGGGGATAACCTACAAGACATAGGCGTAGGAAAGGATTTTCTAAACTGGGCATCAACTGCCCAGGGAAAAAGGTCACGAATCAACAAATGGGACCTCATTAAACTAAAATGCTTCTGTACATCAAAAGAAGCAACCAAGGAAGTGAAGAGAAAACCCACAGAATGGGAGAAAATCTTCACCACTGACACATCTGGCAGAGGTTTAACATGCAGAATATATAATGAACTCCAAAAACAAAGTATCAAGAAAAGAAGTAACCCAATTAAAAGATGGGATAAGGAACTGAATAGAGAGTTTTCAAGAGAAGAAATAAAGATACGCCAAAGATACGACCTTAGTCCTCCAGACAGGACATACTTCAGACACAGGATTTTGAGCAATGAAGGAGGAACTGACCTGGAAGCCTTCTACTGGTTTACCACTCATAGTTCTAGAGGACACTATGCAAACTGCTAAGGGAGAAAGTCAGTCAGCAGTCTAACACAGCCCTGAAACTTAATAACCATAATGACTGGCACAGCAAATTACTTCTATTGGTTCAATGGTGGCACTGTTATCTGTAGAGCAATCACCAGCTATCTCAATGGGAGTAGTCTCCTGGGTGGCACTGTAAAAGCAGCCAAATACACATAGGTCGAGAGGCCATAGATCCTAGAGACAACCCTATCTCTGTCATATCTCTAGACAAATGAAATATCTTACTGTATGTGAAATATGGATCCTTAGATTTACAGACAAGTCTACTGGACACCTCTCATCAAAGAAACTTTTTTTTTCCCAACAGATGGAGGCTACTGCAGAGTTCCACAACTGGTCACACACAGAGAATATAGGTCTGAGAAATGTCAGCCCTAGATGCAGGGGCACTCCTACACCTAAGGGTCATGGAATATAGTTGAAAAGTGATAGAGAGGAAACTTGTGCACTCTCAACTCTGACCAGTGAAGCTTTCTTATATTACAGAGTGTGATGCACACAGCATCATACGGACTGCAGAGTGTGTGTCCCTAGATAGGACTCCTATAATACAACTCACCTACCCACAGCTCAGGTATCGTCATAGAAGAGGGGGCGGAAAGGCTGCAATAGCAGCATTGGTTCATGAGTATAGGGAAACAGGCTTTTAGGGCAGTGGACTCTGCACATGTGAACTTGTGGCAATGGTGGCACTGAGCACAAAACTCAGGCCATCTCCACCAGACAAGGGCCCAGAGTGGAGTGAGGGAAATGGATAGTGGGAACTGCTAGAGACTGATACTACTGGGTGAAGGCGAGTAGACCTTACTTGTGATCTCTAGATGGGCTGACTAGACTCCCAAGATGAATTAGCATAGAAGGCACATCTGGGTACAAATGCTTGATGAGATAGGAATTAACATGCATGATGGAAGCATGAGGGCCAGTGTGGGGGGTGTGGGGGCATGAATGGAGGAAAGGGTCTAAATTTGATTAAGAACCATTACATGAAGCGTACAACAGATCATTAAAAAATTTTTAAAATAAATTCATTGTGGGAAAACCTTGATAATTAGAGCAAAAACTGAACATTAAAATCAATTTAATAGAGAAGAAAAACAAGGCATCAAATTGCAGAAATGGTTAGAACACAGTATATAATTCATATAATTGTTACATTGGATTGTGTAAAA